ACACGCATACAAACACATACATACGTGCATACATACACACAAACACACACATGCATACAAATATACATACGCACGCACATAAAATACAAGTCAAAAATTAACAGGTCTACAGCTTGGAACGTCCAACAACGATTTAGAATCCAACAACACAACATCCAGCAACAACACAGTATTAATGACAGTAGCTATAATGTTGAATTTGCTGACAATTACATTGTTGTTAATGTCATCTGTGCTGTGTTCTTTATTTTAAAACAATAACAACATCAAGTGCTTTCCTCCCCGTTCCAAAGCTGATGATATTTCATCGTTAATGTTTGTGGTCCGACCCGTCCAATCAACAAACGAGAATTGATGCTTACCTAGCATGTAGGTGGGAGCCGGATTCGTTCTTTACACATCCAAACATTAATACATATATACATTCTTACAAATCCAAACATTAATGCATACATACACACGAGAGGTAAGCACCTGAGTGTTCGTTCGTGACTAACGGCTTGTAGCATGCACTCGCAAATGAAAACAAAAAGGTTAGCCGGTAACATTAACATCAGTTAGGGACGAACACGTTAGTTAAAAGTTAGCATGTTTTCAGCTAGTTGATGTTTCCACATGACGGTCGTTTATTATACAACCGATCAGACTAATTCTTGCCTTAATGTCGTCTTAATCAGCTGATTTGTTAAATCAAATTCAGCTGATTGCAAAGGTGAGCGAGTGAACAAACAGCTGACCGAGCAAGTGAACTAACAATACAGTGTAGAAAACATTGGATGTTTATATAGTGTAAAACACTTTACTGTTCATAACTAAACTCAGATGCAATGGTGATATCAACAGTAAGACCTGGCCGCTTGATTAGCATCAAGTAATAACTAAAAATTTTCACGTAGACTTTTCAAGGTTAAAAATTACATGAAAAGAAATTTTTTGTGAACTTTGAACAAACTTGGAATTTAATATAACAAAAAGTTGCCCGTTAAAGATTTGGTAGCAAAGTTTCATGCAATGCTTGCCAATTCTAAAAAAAATGTGTATATAGTATTAGTATTGCACCCATACAGCTAAAAAAGACCATTCGCATCCTCTTCGTATTGAACATTTTTATATGATGTTCGTTAAATTTTAAAGCTAGTGGAGTGATGCACCGTCTGCACCCAAAAAATATTTCTAATTATCGTTAATGCCGAAGATTTGCTCTTTAGCTTACTTCAGTTTTTGTCTAACAGTTTTTATTTGACTTGAACGCAATTATTTTTAGATGTTGATGACGCTGTTGCATCGGCAACATTTGTCGACTAATAATTTTAAAACTTGAAAATGGTTTAAATCAAAAAAGACCGTTGTCAATTTTGAACAAAACTTTATATGGTACATAATAACATGATAAAAATGGAAAATAAACTTTTTACACGATGTAAAAATTAAAGAAATTAAGTAATTCAATAAAGTGTTGTCATAAATGTTCATCAACCTCCTCGTGTGGCTGGCCAGTGGGATGACCAGACCATCGAAACAGTTCATCGTTACTTCAATAACATTAACGAATAACAAAATTAATATTGTAATAGGTATGTAAAAAATAAACAGCATTAATACGATTTTTAAAAAATAATTAAAAATATCAAAATAAATCACAATGAATATTGAATATAGCTATATATGTATGTGTGTATATATATATATATATATATATATATATATATATATATATATATATACAGCACAACGCTTTTGTTTTGTAGTCTTTTATGTAAAGACAAGTGGGTGGAGAAAAAAATTATTTAAAGAGTATTTCTTGCATGGCCCCAAAAAGAAAATTAATTGAAACGATAAATGTTTGCTGAAATGATCGAATAACCAAAATCCAAAAAATTAAACACAATGTAAATATACTGTTCACGTGAATGAAACGTACGAAGAAAAGCATTCAACGTCCTCATAAACATATGCATAAAGATTTTCTTCAAAGAACCTAAAATCTAAAAACCTATCCTATGAGTTTAAAAAATAAATAAACAAACATCAGCTGACAAACGGGAAATTTCGTTTGTCGGTAACATTTAAGTCAACATGAAAATACTTCGGATGCTTTCAAAACTACAACTAACACAGAGATGCACTCATTTGAAATATGTAGCTCATAACTGCATGCATCAATCACTTATCACTTCTATAAACTGATGAAAAGCATAATAAATTTGATATTATTTTACTGTTAACTGTAAAACAAGGTTAGCCAGGACATGATTAATGCAATATTCATGCACCAGCTAATGCATGTTCAAACACATATAGCATATATTGTATGATATACATAATTGATCATATGTACGACCTAATCATAAAAAAAAACATGCGTAGCAGCTGAATCATCTTCTTAAATGTTAATATTTTCTGAATTGAATTGAATGAATGTCAGCATGCATGCATAAGTGATGGGTGGAGCCCAACTGTCTGGGCATTTACAACCGTCCATTCATCCAATCCATCCATTCTCTCAATTATCAATCCATAAACCTGAGATTGCATTTACAAGAAATTGATGGCTCACTGGCCATTAATAATATTTAAAGAAAATTATTAAATTTCAACAAAAAACTAAAATAAAAAAGTTTGAAAAACATTTTTGATAACATACAAACAGCGTAAGACCTTCGTAAGCGTTGAAATAAACACGAAATCAACAGAACAAACGTGAATGAATCTTTCACGTAGGATTAAATTTGTTAGGTAACTTCTTCATGAAAACCTATGGATTCATAATTCTTATTATCAACAAAAGAAACTGTTTTAATGAGACTACAAATAAATGCCTGCCATTCAAATCTCAAAAACAATCCTTAAAAGAAACATCAAACAATCAAATTAATACCTTCTCCATCAAACATCTTACGTCCTGCAAAATTGTAACGCAAGTCTAAAAAAACCAAAAGCCAGTGTTGACCGTTAAAGAATTAACTAAATGTGTTACGTAGGAAGCTTACATTATTACTGATGTGGTTATTGGAAATGGTTTCAATGACTTGTATATAAATATATATATATTACATGAGTTTAAACAATAAATAAATAAACGACATTGCTTTATTGAAAAAAACCATTATATCACAATGCTTAAATGTGCTATAATTATGACAAATAAACTTTGTATCTTAGCTATTATAGAAACTAACTTTAGTTTGAATGTATCACAGCTGTATTAATATGAATTAAATCTGAGATAAAGAAACAAGAAAGGAAGAGGGAAGGATGGACAAACGAAAGAACACACACACACACACAAACACGTTCAGTAACGGATCTAGGGAAGTTGAAGAACCATTTTAAAATGTTGTAACAAAGGAGACAAATTAGCAAAGTAGACGAAATCTGCAAAAAAGGTCATTAAATCCAGAATTTTGAAACTTATCCCCACCCACCGAATAGGGATTTACGGGAAATAGCTAAAAAGTGTCCTATGTCTTTGAATTTCAATATTATTCCCTTAACCGCAAAATTCTAGATCCATCACATATATTATACACACACACACACACACACACACACACACACATATATATATATATATATATATATATATGTGTGTGAGTGTGTGTGTGTGTGTGTGTGTGTTGGTATTAAACCACAGTTTTTACAATATTCTAAAAATTCTACCGGAATGTTTGGCGTTAACTACAAACATATTAACGCCAAACATTCGGTAGAATTTATAGAATATTGTCAAAATATGTATATATATATATATATATGTATATATATATATATATATATATATATATAATGCATTAAATACATAGCAATTCCACACAAATCCTCATCCATCTGTCTATCTATCCATTCATTCATCCATCCTCACCTCCTCCGAAGTAGTTACAGTTCTTAAAAATAATCTATCAATCTTAAGCTGGTGCATATGACTATCATTTAAATTTACACATGGAAATGATGATGGCCACGAATGAATATTAATTCTCACATTACAAACATATTAAACAAAAAGTTCAACAACAAAAAAATAATTTTACTGATTACCAATGTTGTCAATATTGTCTATTTACATCAATAAAATCAGTTCAAAATGATATTAATCAATGGTCCCTGATGTTCGTGTTAATTTATTTGGCAGTCTCTAAAATTTATTGAAAAAATGAAACCTTTTATATATTATTCCTGAATTATATGCTACATCAACCTTATACATGTGATGAAATGTGTGGAATTCTAGGCTAAGCATCATTTCAAGGCAAAATTAGAAATCAAATGAGATTATCAACAGTTTTGAACCAATCATCGCCCCACAATATGTCGTCATTCATCTGCGATGTGAGGTCATCTGGCAAACTGACACCTTCCAGAGGATTGTCCAAATCCGATTCAGAAATTGTCGGAGTCATATCATAGGAGCGTGTATTGTGAGATGATGAATTGTTGGCTTGCAGGTCACTGCAGTTGTAAAATGGCTTGAACATCACGTTCTCGAGCAAAGGCGATGACATAGGTCTGAAAGTTATGTTATCTAACGTACTGCATGTTATCACATTTGACGACGCGCTGCTGCTGCTGCCATGCAGTGGAAGACATTGATTCTGCAGGTTGCTGCTCATTGCACTGAGAAGGTTCAGTGTGGAGGAAGGAAAACTTTGAAAAATAAAAATGTGCTGTTTAACGTTCTGTTGAGACGGTGGCAATTTTTGTGTGGTGCAGAAAGGCGTAGTTGGTGGGCTTTCAGGGAAAGTTGAGCCACCAAAAATTTCCAATTCTTCGTCTATATCTGAATAAAAATTTTCCTGATTACGCACAAAAGCTGTCTCAATTCTTTCATCTTTCTTTTTTGTGTCCTTTTTCTTTTTCTGGAGTTTTTTATTCTTAGGTATTTTTTTAGTTTTGCTCTTTTTATTAACACTCTTAGCTTGCTTGGGTGATTGGATCAGTTTATTCATTCCTTTAGCAGATGGACTTTTCATTTTTTGTGACAATTTTTCTTTTTTGTTTTTCTTTTTTTTAGGACGATATTTGTACCCTAAAAATTGTTTAGCGTGAAAATTTTTCAAACGTATAGCCTCATCAATGTAAGGTTGGCGCTCAGCATCTGACAACATTCTCCATGATTTTCCTAATCGCTTGCTAATTTCTGCATTGTGCAAGCCAGGATCAGATTCAGTCAACTTCCTGCGTTCTATCTTTGACCAAATCATGAATGCGTTCATTGGCCTTTTCACCTTAGCTCCTCCAGGCGTTGTGTTCGTTGCGTCACTGTACGGCGTGCTCGAGTTTGGATCTACTTCTGGAAAACGTATCGCTGGTGCTGATGAACCGTAAATGTTATCTTCCACTAACCGATATTCCATTTCATCCATTCTGCTGCAGACAAGTAATTCACAATTGTGCCAGTATTGTGTATCTGTTAAAAAATTAAAAAATTAAATATAAATAAACATATTCGGCATTAAACTTGAAAACCAATTTTTCTAGTTGCTACATTGCGTGTCACATCGCTAATAAACAGGGGGAAATATTAAAAAAAATAATTGCGCAGTTTATTATCATATTGTACTTTTCTAATCAGCCAACTTGAAAATTAAATGTAAACATAAACAACCTCATTATAACAAAACATACGATGCACCAAATTGAAACGATCAAACGTTTTCATGCACTTCAATCGCGTTTGTTTTTATTTGTTACAAACTAATTTAACATACATTCTGATATTTTACTTTACCAAAAAAAAACAAATTTTCACATCACAAATACGATCAAAGCAGCAAATGTCAGCAAAAATAAACAAGAACAAATCCAACAAAACAATATCACAAACAACAAACAAGTGTCCAAGAAGAAGACTCATTCATAATTTTATGTCATGATTAAACTTCATGTGTATCTATACACATATAAGTACTAATATGTATATATACAATATACAACAGACATTATATACACACACGCGCACGCATTTACACAACACAGACACAATATGCGCGAACACACGTTCTATAAACATTTCATAAACACTTAAATAACATTACAAAAACACCGTAAAAATAACAACTTCAACAAAACAACGTTCTACTTATTTTATTACTTCATCCTTGAACTTTAAAAAGCACCAGCAAATCAATTTATTGCGATTCAGTGACTAAATGCGCTACATTTAATTTAAAGTTTAACGCATGAAAAATCACTTCAAACCTTTTAAAATTGCGCTCTCCAATGATTCTGGCCAATGATTTATGCAAATTTTAAAAACCTTTTTTGTTACAGATCGTCATCATGCTAACCAGAAAAATACAGCCAAAATTAATAAAAGAGTTTCTTGTGCTACAAAAAAATAATTTGACCTTTTAAAAAACTTGAAATAATACTTTTTTGATAAGCTTATTTTTAAAAAGTAGGGAAAGAACAAAAAATTCAGAAAACATTCATTTATGATTAGAAGACAAGCAGCACTAACCAAGAAACATTTTAACCATTTACAATTCATTAATCAAGCCACCATCAAAAGTTAGCACAACTTCAAAACTATTATAAGTATTATTGAATGATCATGTATGTATGTATGTTAAAACCAAAACATGATGAGTGACACTGAACCATCAAACATCAAGTAACAAATGGATTTGTATGTATGTATGTATGTATGTATGTATGTATGTATGTGTGTGTGTGTGTGTTTGTATGCATAACAAACATATATTAATAAATATGTGGTGGTGATAATTAATTCCCAGGGTAGCAATAGAGATAGTAAAGAGCTCTCAATGATGAAGCTATTCCTTGCCACAGTACTAACACATTTTAATAAATAATTGAAAGAAAAAAAAATACAAGACATTTAATTGCCTCTTTCATTCACCTTTTGTTGTTATTGTTGTTGCTGTCATAGATTTTTGAAGGAATGCACTCAAAATCAATTTGATGTTTTATTTCATAAATAATTTTTATAAATTCATATCAAAAAATTTATCAACAAAATTTATAAATGTGCCTGATAAATAAAATAAAGAGCACAAATAAACGTCAAGTAAATTATTATTATAATTGGTTAAATTATTTAATATTGATAATGATATCCACCAATTTGCAACTGAATGAATCTTTTAGACTTACTGTAAAAAAATTATAGATACGCACTACACAAGTCAACACAAAGAGGTGAACAAGAAAATTTATCTATTTTAACACAAAGATAAATAATTAAATATATAAATTTTAAATTATAATATAATAATTATATAATAAAAAGAAACAAATTTGGTAAATAAGCATTTAAATAAACTGCCAGAGCAAGCAAATATTTCAACAGTGCAATCAGCTGATCAATTCAGCAAATGATCACAGCCAATACAATAGTAGAGTGATTTAAAACAATAATATACTATTATTAGTATTATAACAATCGTTTCTATTTCATCATATTCTCATGTCATGTTCATATTTCTTTGTCATAATTAAACTTTTAGTTGCAAAACTTCACTTCAGGCAATGCATAAATTAAATCATAAATCTAATTACATATGAATCAGTATGATATACAATACAACATACATGACTATGTGGGTGTACTCAGTATTATGCAATTAATTAATTCAATAATATAATATGGTATTGATTGTGTTGCTGATTTAGGTTGCATTGGCTTATCAACTCTAGCAGATAAATTTCTTTCTATCTATCCATTCCAAATATGAAACTATCTATATTATATATATTTGAAGTTTTAGACAGATGCACTAATTGAACTGAGGTAGGGCACGAATAATAAATTAAATAAGTAATGTGAAGCCAACTTAGACCAGAGTTTGTGAAAAAAAAAATGTTTTATATGTTCCATTGAATTAATTTTTTATAAAAAAAACTACATTGACTTACTTACTTTTCCAAGCTTCTATCTATCCTTTTTAAACTTTTATTTAATAACCCATACCAGTGATTTGAAATTAAAAATTTAAAAATTGTTTGATTATTTAGTTTATTCTGATATTTTTAAATTTAGTTTTTGATGAGTTATTAAAAATAAAACTATTTTCAAGTAATAAAAATTAAATTCAAGTCTGACAACTGCGTTAACAATTTCAAACTTTTTTATCAGTCTATCTCCAGCCAGACCCGAAAATTTTAAAAAGAGAACAAAAAGATCTTCCATCATTCAGACTTTATATAACAAAATGGAGAGAGAGGGAGAGAGGGGGGGATAATAATTTTAAGTTCATTTCATTCGGGCAAACAACGAACAAACACACACTGAACAGTGAACACACAGCAGCCTCATAATGCAATCATGCTTTGTTTATGTTTATTATTGCACGTGCTGTACTACGTCACATTCGACCAATCAGACATTAAAGTTATTTTTAGCTATCCAATCATTGTCAGCTTACTTCATAATACACAAGTGCTGACCTATTTTTCCATTGGCTGATCAGATGTGTGCAAATAAATGTGTACAGCTCGCCGTACACGCTCACATCGAGTCTATGGATTTTATTTAACGCAGAAATAAATAGAAGCCGGTACCCGTCGTTCGCGTTCATTTCGTTATAAGGTGCTCCTATGTGTAAATGTAAACATGTTGTTGCATATTTTTATTCTTATGCCATTTCTGTTTAATATTTATGTGCAATTTGGTATTTCTTCGTACTGTTATTGATGCGTAATAAATGTTTTTTTTAGCACTTTAGCTCATTGCGTGTTCAAATCTATTTTCGAGTTAATTAAACTTTATGATATTTATATTATTTAGCCTCTTAACAGTTCTGGCGTAAGGTACAAAGTTTCTAAACGCAGCGCTACCAGAAAGATATTAAACTAAACTAAGTTAATTGAATTGATTAATTAGTGAATTAATTAATTATTAAAGCCGAAAATACTTTTTATAACTCTTGACTAATCAGAAAACACAGTACTACTTGGAATGATCGATATATTTGTGATATCTGCGTGTGCGTGCGTGCGTGTGTTGCTTAGTCTAATGCATTTTGGCAGGTGGTAAAATAAAACATTTTTCATGGTAAAGGAGACAATCGTTTTTGAAAAATGTGTTCTGCATATTATGTTAACCGAATAACTAAAATTTCTGATAGTTAATCCCAGATAAATAAAAATTTGACATTTAAATTGATGATGCGCTCATGTATCTCGTTGGTTGTTAGTACGCTCTCTGATGAGTCTTCCACCGCTGGCTGCTTATTTTACTAGTCAGATTTTCAATAAAGGTGCTTGCGAACAAAGCAACATGCGCTTAACCACCAATCAATTTCAATGAGTCTGAATACGTGTGTCCGTGAGGTGTGAGCAGAGGTGTGTACGTGTGTGTGTGTGTGGTGTGTGCGATCGTACGTGTGTGTGTGTGTGTGTGTGTGATGTGTGCGATCGTACGTGTGTGTGTGTTGAACGTTCGTATGTGTGTGTGTATGTGTACGATATATATAATTATAGCACGCGTGTCTGCGATTTGTGTGAATGTACGTGTGTCTGTCTAGTGAAAGAACGTGTGGAACGTGTGTGTTTGCGATGAGATGTGTGAGTGATTGTTTGTGCACAAATTAAAATACATGAACAACAAAGAAACGTAGCAACAAACACAATTTAGTTAAATTTATGAATAATGTATGTATATGTACTATTTATACGTTCGTGTACATGGCAAGTGTAGATGTGTTTGGGTCGGGTCGGGGCTCAAAAAATATGTTTTTTTTGTTCTGTTCTTTGTAGTGCAATTTTGACAAACGCAGAACTGCTTGCATATTATATACTTGTGATTGAACCCGTGCCACAAAGGCTGTTTACACAAACACATATATTCTCATATAACAGCTACCATTGATAATAATTTTTTTAATAGCATGTATAGTTTTGAAACAAGTGTTTCCAAGTAGCTTATACACTTCGTTATTTGTTCATGTGGAGCGGAAATAGTTAGATTACAAAATTTGATCATACTGACCTCCAGTATCCTCTTATCAAAGGTTTTTTCATTGTTCAACGTGGTGGAAATTGTTGGCAGCCACCATGCTTTTATTTTTATCAATACACCACAATAATGTGGCAATATGGGGAATTTATTTTTATTTATTTATTCATTAAAATTCTCTCTTCAATATTTTTAGAGGTCTCAGCAACGAACAAATAGTGCATTTCAACAGCACACGTGAAACAACGCACCTCACATATTGAATCAGATCACTGCGATGGCAGTGCCAGTTAAGTAAGTACCGTTAAACATTAAGACGGCATTGCGCCGCCGAAAAAGTAAATAAATTCAACTCATAAAGAAAGATAAAATTTAAAAAATATTACTTTCAATATATTTACTTGTTCTATGATTATTTTTATTTTATGTGTTGTAAATAAAACTTTATCTACGCCCTTCTTTGTCTTCAATAAAAACAATTTTTTTTGTGAGCAAATTGGGTAATAACAGCAACTTAATTGCAAAGTTACAGATACTTAGGGCTATGAACATAAATCTTTTTTCGGCTGGAGTTGCCATACTACTGGGAACGGTAACAGAAGTGTAGCGGCACTCTAAAGGGCGACTGAGAATATATTACGTTTTAGTGTGCATGCATATACATATATATATACATATATATATATATATATATATATTAGTTAGTTTATATATATATATAAATATATATATATATATCAGTTAGCTTAGGTACGTATGTAGTGTAACTTGTGATGTTGTAACTTATGATTATATCCAAGTATGAGCATGTATCACGCGTGTATCTGTCAAGATGCGTGAGTATCTACGACGTGGTTGTTGTGCTTTTCGTTAAGTTATGACTGACGATGGTTCAACTGTTCAACTCATATGCCCTGTCCAGCGCTAGTGACCTGACCTGACCTGATTTCAGACTAGATCATGTTATGTATCAGGTCAGGACGGACTAGATAATGATGTTGTGTAGTGTTGTTCTACGAAATGTAACCTTTCTATGCGAATATAGAATTGCATTATGATTAACGGGTCTTTGGCTAGCTTGCTTATGCTTACATCAGCCTTTCACGAACAAAGAAACTATACAGGCATAAACGAAAATTCTTACGACATGCATGCACGCACGTATGACTAGCTGCCTGCTATAAGATATTGAATGTACAAACTGCATGTTATATAAGACATTGAATGTATTATATCATCTCACCACGGACTTTTACGTCGTTTCAAGGGAAACAGTATCATAAAAAGTTTACGATAACACAACTTTCAACTCGTGTTCATTTAACTATCTTTATGCAAATTTGCAAATTATACATTATATGAAAATAGCAAACACACACATACACACACACACATACACACACACACACACACACACACACACATATATATATATATATATGTATAATTGTATATATTATTTATTGATCTTTAAGCATATTTGCTGGTGAATAGTAAACCCCTTTTACAGCCCTCACGTGACTCAGCCCGCTAACACTTACTCTGACGCTTGTGCTCTTTCATTTGACTGCTTTTCATCCAAGCAGACCGAATAGACAAACCAATAATCAAATTTAAAGTATGCAAATGTCGTGAATGTGGTTGTCAACATTTCATGTACAGTTTTACATTCATCAAATTAAATTTTAAATATGATAACATTTCCTTTGCGTTGGATACTTGCGGTCTTTAAGCAAATCTTTCAATGGAAATTCAAGGACATTTGTTCAACATTTCTGAATGTAGGCTAATGTTATTCACTGAGGCGAATTTGCTGCTGTTTATTAATGTTTATTTCAAGATTGAAAATTCTTTTAGAAAATATTTGACGAAATGAAGAAATTTTTTACGATACTCGGATTAGTATTGTTTGGGCTGTTGTTTTTTACATAACTCACCTTTCTTTTCTGTTGGGTTCACGTTGTACTTAATAATTATTACAATGCCTATACCTAGAATATACTTAGTTACAATGACGGTTGTCGGTAAAAACACATATTTCTAACGTGTTAAAATTTTTATTATATAAAGTTAAGTTAATTATTAAGTAAATAACTAATTTAAATTGATTAATATTAACTTTAAATGTTGAAAATCATTTTTAAATGGTGATGAAAATTAACGATAGTATTCAAGATTTTTGGTAATATGCATTGTAAATATGGTTTTCAAAGTTAGTACTTGTATTGTTTGGTTCATATATATATATATATATATATATATCCAAATAATATATATATATATATATATATATATATATATATATATTATTTGTGTTTACGTTACATTAATACCGTGTTTGCTATTTTTATTTTAAAGATTTTTCGAATAGATTAAATTTAGTATAATAGATATAGAAAACAACTAGATAAGTCACGTTCACAAATTTATATATCATTTATTGCTGGAGATCTTAATCTCTTACCCCGAAGAATTAAAAAATCACGAAATGTGAACTTATATGTCTATATGTAAACAATAAAAACAATGCTATTATCTTTCAGAAACTTCGGGAGAAATAATAAAACGTTCAAGCAAAATGGTTGTGAAGAGTATCGTCGTTAGTTACATGTTGAGGTTACATTACTAAATCTTAATTACAAGTTAGGCATTGCAATTGATTAAAAACTAAATATATATTGTTACAATGATGTATAGATAATTTTAACACTTGAAAAGTTGGAAAACTGAAAATTATTGAGAAACCGGAACGCAACGGCAACGCGTAAAAGTAAGCAACAAATTTGGTCACAATATTTAAAACGTGACTATCTAATAGTTTTCTATATTTATAGGATTAGCATTACCTTGAAAATATATAAAATTATATTGATCTTACGATTCAACAGCAATGAAATATAATTAAATATTACTTCCCATTCTCAAGATATTTCAACCGAGTAAGGTCTAACTGATAGAATAGCGTGCTTATATGGCATTATTTATCACATGCTGATCGCATTTTAAAATAGAACACCTACATCTTAGGTAGGCAGCATTGAGAGTTCAAGCCACGCATTAATTTATTCGAAATTGGTTTTTTTTCTTAATATGCTTGCCTTTCTGTCATCTTGTTATATGATGTTTTATTTTACAATTTTCGCCGACTTCCGACGCATCTAGACAACTGAAATATATACTAAAATGCTCTGGTGATTAAAATTCAAATATTTACAAAAAATGGGGCTAAGAAAGTTTTTCGATGACAATTAATCGGCTGACTTAATCATAAAAAAAACTTAAAAATCTGCAAAATTAACTAATAAATTATTTATTTAATAAGATTAAACTATAAATGTAAATAATGAACGTAAAAGGTACATTTTAATATCAAATAAATTTAAAAGAATGAAGGTTTTTTTATACATATTTTAATGAGTGTTATTTCCCTTTTTTCTATACACTTGTCTTTCTGTTATATGTAGTGTGATGTTCTATTTTGCAATTTTCACCCACTTCCGATACAATTATCCCGGTAGAAATTTCAGGGAAAGTTGTATTTTGGGATAAGTTATACAACATATACATATATAGAATAAAATATATAAACTGCAACTCATTCCCTGCTATCAACTTTTATAAATCAGTTGGTGTATTTGAGACTGAATTTTAGTTTAAAGGTGGTCAAATGAGACTAGGTGCAACAATGCGGAATTTAAGATGTCTAATGTATTAATATATAGCTAGATTGTGGGGATGTAAAAATTTTTATTTATCCACAGAAACCTCTACATCCCCCCACCAGCGACAAGTTTTTCAACTGCACAGTAGCTTTGACTTTTTCACTTTTTCTACTTTTATAATTTTCACTTATATTCATTTCAAAAAATGTTATAACTCAAGTTTTCCCAAGTGCTGAGTATCATCTCGTTGTCTGCTGATTCATCGTAACTTCATTTTCGTTTTCTTACTGGCCGCACCTTGTAGTTGTCAATTAAAACAGGGTTTTTTTTTAGTCATCAAATCTGTAGTAATACAGCTAGTTTGAGTGAGATTAATATCATTTTGCCAAAAATTGTTCAAACTTTTGGGTTTTCAAGTTTACATTGTACATAAATTTAATTTAATAAATAACAAACTTTTTTGTGTTTTATAATTGTTTTGTATGGTTTTGTAGCTGTTCAAAATAGAAAATTAATCAATTGTAGGTTAAAATGAAGAATGGTTTTTATGAGATGACAGCTTTTTGAAAATACTTGCCAAACTCTGGGAAGAAAATTAGTTTTAAAAGTATGCTAATAATTTTTATTAGCATATTTATTAGCATATTTATTAGCATCATCAACTCGTCCATGTCCCAAAAATGGAGTTTATTTTTAATTTCCTTCCTTACTTGAAAAACGACATTTAATCGTGAATCCAAAATAAAATAAAAAAGCGTTATCATCAGTTCGGCCTAATATTTTTGCCATAGCGTTAGGGTAGTAGAGTTTGTAACAAAACTTGTGAAAAACATGAATTGGGATTAACTTTTTTTAGCTTTATAATTCAACGAAACCAAATATATATTAAAGTTTGTTTGTTCTAATTTTTTGCCATAATAATTTAATCAAGAAAAATTTAATTTAAAGTTTTTATCGAAATTTCTAACCTTTCAATATAGATGATCTAAAATTGAATTTATTATGGAATTTGAATGAAAGATTTTGTTACTGTTTTGACAATAAGGAGACTTTTTGCTGGTTTTTAAATAAAGAACACCTGCAGGAAATAAGTGCAAATGATTGAAAACTTCAAGGTTAGTGAAATTGCGCCACAAACAAATTCAACACACCTATTCTGATTGAAGAATTATCTGCCGCATAACCCATAGAACCACAGGAAAATCCGTCGTTGCAGTTACTACATGACTCCTTCACAAAATTTTTAAAACACAAGATCAATATATCAAGCATTTTGTTAGTTGATCCATTTTAAAATAAATAACAAATTTTTTACAGGAATGTCGTGTACATCTGTACAGTTTTTGTAGACATTAAAACAATCGTTCTCGACGGATTCAATCATGAAAGTTGTTGCCAAACTGTGACTGCATGAATTGGCTGTAAAATTATTAAAACATTCGCGATCAATCAATTTTCTTTTCTTTTTTTAATTTTTGTTTATATAAACATTTTGCAGCTAACCATTACGTTGTTATATTGTTGAATACTTTATAGTTTTAAATTTTGGAAAGGTTTTATTACCACATATCAAAGACTAATTAATTTATATATCTTGATATAAGAAAATTAATTTTAATAAAATAAGCGAGCAATTGAATTGGTTAAGACTTGAAGGAACTAGGTTTAAACTCCGCAAAGCATGATATTAATTCTTATTGGGGTTATTGACGATGATGAGCAATGAAATACATCAAACTTTTAATTGCAAAATATTCTCACTTATACATCCCGGTTGCTGCTTTCCCCCATTCGGATAAAAATCAAGATGCCCTAGAGATTTTGTTGTTCCAAGGACGTTGTCCGTGTGAATGATGTCGACGAAATCAGCTGATGATGGGTTAACTCCAACTGTCACGTTGGAAGCGCCTTCAAAATACGGACCAGCAGGGTCTAATCCTACAAATTTGTGTTCCATAATATGTTTAATGTTGCAAAAGTTAATTCAGGGGTCTGAAATATTATCTAATTCCGAGCATTGCAAAAATAGATTTTGGACCTGTAACACGTCTGATTTTCAACTTCATTCCCAAGTGACCACATACGTGGGATCCTAAACTGTGACCGATGCACCAGATGTAATTCTTTGGGTAGTTGTGCTTCTCAACAAGATTGCCAAGCACGACAGCGGAGTATGCACCGACAGATCGAGTGTTGGAAGCCGATTGTGGGTAAATTGTGTTGTCGGCGCCATATTCCCAATCCAGAAGAATCACATTTACGTCTTCCTAATGTTATACATAGGTCAGATCACATAACTATTTTTTGTTTAAGCTGGGTATTTTTAACATAAAAAATTGTTTTTTATTCAACTTTTTGATTGTAATTTTTGTCGTTTAATTTATGTAAACTTTCCTTTTTTTAGTCGAAGTTTAGTGGAACTAATTGAACTGATGTTTTATTTTTAACCTAATTAAAGGTATTGCTATTTTAGGTATCCTTTTCATGATTGTTTTTTTATTATCATGAATTAACCTGATTAAAAAAAAACAAAAAAACTAACTTTTTTCAACAAAACTTGTTTCAGTTTTAAGACCCATTTTGATTCACTGTCACTGTTCCAACCATGCACGGCAATGATCGTGTTCTTTGCAAAATCAAACACTTTTCTGCAAATAAAAGGATTAAATTTGTTAATTTTAAAAATGTTATAATCGATGCAAATCCAATTTCAATTACAAACGGTATCTCTTTTTCCGTTAGCAATTCATGCGTATCAGGATTCTTCCTCGTGTATAATTTATGCATTGGCATCATTTCCATCGATTCCAAACATTCCGGCAAAGGCATTTTATCGAAAGGTGGATCATCATTAAAAGTGCCAATTAAATTACAGGACACGTTTTTGCATCTTCAAATAATTTGATCATATTGGATTATTTATTAACAATAAATAAATTGTTTCGTAGAACATTAAAAATTTTAAAAAGCATTTAATAAACTACCTGGCCAGTGTGATGCACATCAAAAATAGCAAGACCGTTTCATACATTTTTGTTAAAGTTTTACAATATTCGATTGTTAGATATTTTAACAAGTGATTCAGTAGTGGACATTTAAAAGAAATCTTATCAGATAAAATTCAATTGTATGTCATTAGCAAGAATTTTATTTGTTATGTAGATAAAAATTGTATTTGCTATGTAGATGAAAAGCTCTTCAAGATATATTCAGATTTAAACAAAAATGTTTCAATCATTTTAGAGCGAGGGCCAGCGGGCCACATCAATTTTAAAACCGTTTTTAAAATATGTATATTAAATTTACAAATACAAGCCCAAATTACATCATTTTAAACGCATTTGTCAAAACTAATTTCTCTATACCTGAATTAAAATTTCGGGTGAAGGTTAATTTCAGAGCGGCAAAAAAACATTTGCCAGTCAGCCCGAATCTACAAAGGATTTTATTTAGCTTCATGCAAGAAAATAATTCATAATATAATAATAGATTTCCAATAAGCGCAGAGTATCATCCTTTTGCATAATACAGTAGAAAAACAATAACCCTTAATAGTCAAAATATGTTCAAATTACGAAATCAATCAGTCTAAACATCTCAGCAACGCAAATTAAATTTTAAATTATGCATGTAATCAGACTGTACCTACCTACATACATATCTAATACCTCATACAACTCAGCATTTTTATCTTCATCAACTTATTCATCCTCGTTCATCCCTTCTCGTCATCTTCGTTAGTTCGTCATCATCTTTTCAGCTACATCAATTTGTCAACAAATCATCAAGAATCAATAGAAGCCTTACTTACAATTCTCCATCCACATAAAATGGTCTACCTGCCAGCATTCGTCAGCATCCATCCATCATATTCTTCAAAATATATAATTATACATTTGACTTAAACATTTCCTTTTTTTTATTTAAACAGACTTCAAGAGAGGTTATTATTAGTTAACGGAAGTTCTAAACAAATAAATGAAATTAATCATACATACAGCCAAAAATGTCTCGTAAGACAAAAAAATTTTTTCAGTAATTTAAATTTGTTAAAACGTTAGTCGAATTTTAAACCACAAATTTTAACAGTGTATTCGACAAAAAACTTTTTTTTTATTGTTACGGTTGACATGTAGGAAAATAAGTTAACACATTAATCAGAAGAAAACACATTTTACAGAAGAAAAAATGTTTTTTATACAATTTTCAAGATGTAGTCGTGGGTCCCAAAAAATAACCTCGTGGACCGCATCGTGCCCGCAAGATGTATGGTTAACACTCCCAATATAATATAGGGTGATACACAGATTGTGCCTACTCTATTGATTTCCAAATAAGCGGATGTTTTGGACAGGCCAATGTTTATTATATATGGAAAAAGAGAGTACTAACGCTATATCATATTTTCAAATTTAAAAATGAATCATAATTTATCAATTATAAGTGTAATATAAATTAGAATAAATATTTCAGAAAAGTTATAATTAACAGTTTTTTTCAAATTGTTCTAAGTTAAATTGTTCGCGTGTGAAGGATTTACGTGTTTGCCGGTATCAGTAGATGATTTTAAAATATCTATTTTACTAATAATCATTAGAAAATATAAAATTTTGTTAAACGTTCGGATAAAAAAGTTTATTACACCATCGTCGATAAATCAACTACATTCAAATATTATTATAGACATTACTTATCTGCGTAAAACACATGCCATAACAAACCTTTCTTTTCTCATATATCTCCATATCTTGTTCTCTTGCATTGGCTACCATATAGAATAATTTTTAAAATTTGCACGTTCATGTATAAGTCTCTATCTGAATTATTTCCTAAGTATTTATCAGATATATTAATTGAACCTAAACGCCCCGGTTTACGATCGTCATCTTCTTCTCGCTTTTTCTTAACTCGTGTTAAACACTCTTTTGCCAAATCTGTTTTTGCTTTTCCTGGTCCTTTTCTCTGGAACTCTTTACCTACTTCTCTGACTACTTCTCCATCATTTGCGAAGTTCAGAGCGGATCTCAAGACCCATCTGTTTTCAAAATTCATTGAGGAGCGCTGTTGAACATCGCGGAAATAGCGCTTTATAAGCTAATTGATTGATTGATTGAAACCTGCTTACATAAAACATGAAAATAAAAGCACACACACACACACACACACAACGTAGACTCATATATTATAATTATAATTAATATTATAATATTTTTTGTTTTCACATAACGAATGAACGCAAAGTGTCATAACGATGTTTCATTTATTAGTTCCACCTTTTAAGGAGTAAGAACATTCTTTTATTGACCGAAAATTATTAATTATATATCTGAGTGTAAATAAATATGATGTAAAATATAATGTACGATCCTCTCATGCTCTTTGATCAACAAGTGCTTGAGAGTATATATTTAAACTCAGTTAAGAAGTGTTTCTGTCACAATATGTGCCATATGACGAGCAAATTACGCGTTAATGAGTTTTTTATCAAAAGATTTCGACCATAATATTTTAAACAAAGTTAGATTAAAATTGTTATAAAAAAACCACAGGTGATATTTCAAATGAATTAATAATTAACGAATAGTTATTAAAGAATGAATTTAAGTTTAATTTCAAGTTTGTATATTTCTGGCGTTTTTATTCACGTAATGAAGCTAGGTAGGTTTCGTGGCAAATTGTAAGCTCTAAAATTTGGATTTTGTTTTTTAGAGAATGGCAATGTCCGGCCGCAACTTGTCGAACAACTGTGACATCGGACGTACATTTTCTGCATTAAAATCTTCTCACTCATCTTTCTCTGCTCAACAGTTTCATGACTTTTTTGTAAATAAAATTACTTCTTTAAGAACATCTAATTCTAATTTTCCTTCTCATAACTTTACTAAACTTACTACTGAATCTTTCTCTGTATTTACTCCAATAAATCTTTTAGAACTAACTAAAATTATTAATTCTATGTCGTCTACAACCTGTTCTCTAGATCTACTTCCTTCTAATTTACTTAAAGAATTCTCTTCAATATTTTATCCAATCATTCTCAAATTAGTTAATTTATCTCTTTCCACCTCTAAATTTCCTACTTCTTATAAGAATTCTATTGTTATTCCTATTCTTAAAAACACATCCCTAGATCCTACCTCTTTATCTAATTATAGACCTGTAACTAATATTACTTTCATCTCTAAAATAATAGAAAAAGTAGTTTTTAATCAACTCTCATCCTATTTAGACTTTAACTCTTTGCTACCTGTATCTCAATCTGGTTTCAGACCTGCTCACAGTACTGAAACTTCTTTACTTAAAATACACAATGATATCCTTCTCTCTAGTGACAATAGTAATCTTACTCTTCTTCTTGC